GGGAGATTCTGTCAACGCGCCTGCCCACGTCGGGGTGGATGATTTGCAAGCACACCTGCCCACACCGAACTGAGTGTCAGCACTCGTGACCAAAACGGCATGGCCCCCGAGTCCCACCCTCCCTATTCCCCGGGTCTCGTCCCAAGCACCTTTTTGGTTTGTTTGTTTCCCCTGGATGAAAATGTCCTCAGAGGGAAACGCTTTGCCGAAGGAGAGAAGGCAAGCCCACAAACAGCAGAGCACTGAACAGCATCAAGACGGACGAGTTCCACAACTGTTCTGAGCCGTGGAAAAAGTGTCTCGGCAGAGGCCCTGCCTCAAGCGGAGAGGACTTTGAAAGTGACTGAAGGCTAAACATGTAAAAACAACACACAACTTTTGAGTCAGAGACTCACCCTGTTGCCCAGGCAACGGTGTGTAGTGACACACCCATGGCCACCCCAGCGTCAAGCTGCAGGGCTCAGGCGATCCTTCCGCCTCTGCCTTCCAAGTAGCCGGAACTACAGGTGCACACTACGATGCCCGGCTCATTTTCTGACATATCACAATTTTTTATGACGTTTATTCTGGGGCCCCCTTCATTATGTGTATGCACGTGTACAAACATGCATGAGTGTGAGCACATGTCAGCGTGAATGTGTTCAGTGTGACGGGCATGCCTGTGAACATGTGTGAATGTGTGTGTGCATGAACTTGTGTGTGAGGGTGCACGTGAACGCGTTTGTGCCTGAGTGTGCAAGAGTGTGTGCGACTGTGTCCGTGTGTGCTCCTGGGGGCCGGGGACATCGGGAAGGCCCTGCCGCTCTTAAAACAGGCCCTTCCTGTTTTAAGTTTCACTCCTGGCAATCCCCAGCTCCGGGAACTAGTCACCAGCACAGGGCAGGACCCAGGCCCTCAGAGCCCCATTCCTGTCTTCAGAGTATCCAGCACCTCCCAAGGGGCGCCTGTCTGGACAGAGGCACATGAGAGGGGGCTCAGGGCTCCACCACCACCAAACTCCAGGCCTGGAGCAGCCCAGCCCCAGGCAGCATGGGGACAAGGGCATTTATCACAGAAGATGGCGCAGATGTGGCTCCACGCACCTGTCATTAACCGGGCAGCTGGGTGACACCATTCATTCTCTGGCCCTCCGTGTGTAGCTCCTGCCCACTTGGGCCAGTGTGGATGCAGAGGCTGGGTGTGGGCAGCCTGGGGCAGGGCACAGGCTTTGCAGATGCCCACATGCCTCGTGCCCACAGATGCTCAGAGAGGCCTTCTGTGGAGACCCGAGTGGGCCCAGCTTCCAGGCCGTGGGGGAAGCACAAAGCCCAGCCAGCTGGGAAGGGAACTGGGGAGCACAGTCCACACCGGGTGCAGGAGCCTGGGACTGACTGGCTGGGTTAGGTGGCCTGGTGGCCGGACGGCACGGGGAGTGGGGCAGACCCAGAATCCCCACGCCGGACAGACAGACGAGAAGACGACGGGCTGTATTTTAAACGCTCATATTTTGTTTCTCCTCTCACATTTTCCTCTCTCTGCGTGTTTTTCCACAATGCTAACACCATAGTTCATCAAACCCTGACATCTGTGGCCGCGATGTTTCAGAGAACAGTTACGCAGGGAAGTGATTTCACAGTCAAACAGTCGCAGGACGGCCGGCCGGCGGTGAGCACAGGACAGAGCGAGGTTGCGGAAATCGCTCGAAAGGGGAAGAAATCCCTGGAGGGTCTCAGGCCCACCCTCCTGCCCCCAAGGAACGACCTGGCAGCAGCTTCCCGCAGAGGCCCGACGGCGTGTGCTCAGGGCCCCTCCCGCGCGGTCTCTGCAGGCCGGCGTCGCGGGGGAAGCCCTCACCCTGATCCCTAGAAGCAGAAACAAAACACGTCCCAGCCCTCCCCGCCATCTCCAAGTATACATGAGGGATAAAATTACATTTGTACAAAAATAGATTTTTTTTTTTACCTTTCCCGATGCTTTAGACATTTCTCTTATCTGTACTCTGCGGATCTGTCGTCCTCGCTGGAGTACGAGCCACGCTTCCCGCTAAGGCATCGCTAAGACTGGGGACGGCTACGCTTCTGCCCCAGAGCATCTGAAAATAGATGCATCTCCCGCCTCGAGATAGTCATTCGAACCCGGGTTTCACCAGAGGAGGGGTCCATACGTACTTGCTTACAGGAAGCAAATTTGTAGGAGAATGGGGGAGTCTCGATTAAAAACAAACACAAAACACTGGTAACCGCTACGCATCTCCTGCATGTCGCTGGTGTGCAGCCCTTGGTATGTGTCTCTGAACAGCACACGCGTGTTGATACCACACACCTGCGTGGACGGGCCCAGGTCACTGTCCCGATTCTGTGATGGGGACGTCATCGGCCGGTCACCCATGGACTGCACGATCTGGCTGGGCCCTCCCCGGGGCCACTGGGGTGGGGGCAGGGGTCATCTCTAGCACTTGACCCCCAGCCTGAGTCCCTGGGCAACGCTGTGACTTGGACAGTCGAGGGTGAAGGGCCGTCTTCCCCCGAGGCCACATGCTTCCAGCATGATGGGGGATGCCAGGCGACACGGGTTCTTGTGGGGGAAACTGCCCAGGCAGGCCTGCTTCCGGAAGCTGCCCGACCCAGCCCAGCAGAGCCTGGTTTTGCAGAATCTTCTCTCCTCAGCCTAGAAGCCCCATCGGAACGTCAAGGCAGGGGGGAGCCAGCTGAGAAAGTGGCCCAGGGAGCACCGCCAAGAAAGGGAAGTCTCGGGTGGTGGCCGCGTCCCCCAGCCAGGCCAAAGCGGGGACAGGCATGGTGGCTAACGAGCTGATGTTAGTGCTATCTTTAGAAAATTAAAGATTGTCCCACCAAAATAATAATAATAATAATAATAATTACCAAAAAAATCACCTTAATTGAGCCAGATTGGTAACAGGACTAAAGGTCTGGTTAAATAAAAATTCTACCTCGCTACTAAGTAATGTGCCATTTCCTCCCCATGTCAGCTTTTCCCCGTGACAAAGATGATAAGACCGAGGGGAGGCGACGAGACGCCCACCAGAAAAGCCTGCGGCCTGGGGGCAGGGAAGGCTGGATGGGCCAGGGTCTGGGGTTCTGGTTTCTGGGCTGGTGGCCCGGGGCCCCAGCGCTCCACAGCCAGTCAGCCACGGCCGGAAACAACAGTTCCCAAGAAGAGGCCAATCCCAGAGCGCAGGGACCTGCTGCCTCCCCAGGTTTCCTCCTCTGGGACCCCTGGTGTGGATGGGCGTCCCAGTATGCATGGGGGGAACGCCGGTCCCAGAAGGCCCTGGGTGCCACAATCCGGTATCCGAGAGCACCCACCTCCCTCTGCCCGTTGTCCCTGTGCCCTGACGGCTGCCAAGGCTTTGTGGCAGAGGCTGGGAGGATGGACAGCTGGCCAAGGCCCCAGCGAGGGTGTGAGGCTCGCCTGGACACCATCTCAGCCTTGGGATGGTGGAAGAGACAGGGACCACCACGCTGGAAGGCGTGGGGGCGGGTAGAGGAAGGAGATGATTCTAGAATCTCTGACAGCTCGGTCTCAAGCAGACTCAGCTGTGGCCTCTGCCCAGATGCCTGGGCCCAGCTCCGGCTGGAAAGCAAAGAATGGACACGTTCTCCCCCCAAGCTGGAAACCCGCCTCTCCCGTGGCCCAGTAGCTTCCCGCCCACCCAGGAAGCCTCTGCCAGGGCGCCCCACACCCCTCGGCTCGAGATCACAGACTTTGGGAGAAGGCAGCCCCCACTCCTGTCCCAGGTCTGCTGCTGGGAAGACAAGACCCCCTTCCCAAGCCCCGACCAGTGCTCCCCTGTTCAGGCACCTCCACCAGCGAAGGCTGGGGCCACGGTCTGAGACGCATGAAGTCCTTGGGCCGGGGCAGGGCCTTCCAGTGCAAAAGAGGCGAGTTCAACCTGAGCGGGCCACGCCCCGGGAGGCTGGGGCAGAGGCCGTGCCCTCGGGGCTGGACGGGAACCCCAAGCCACCCTCCGCGGAGCGGGCGTGCGGCAGGCTCTCAGAGAAGGCTCTGGGTGAGCCACGTGGACCACAGACCACCCTGGCAGGGGCTCCCGAGGGCCTGGACCCCCACCCCAAGGACACTGGTACTCAAAGTTCTTGGGCTCCAAGAGCCTTCCAGACACGAGCAGCTAGCCAAAGAGCAGGCCACACAGTGCCCCCAGGACACAGCCACAGCCACAGCTGCCTGCGTGACATGTCCATCCACAGTCCCTCCGTTTCCCAGGCCTCCCGTAGCCTCCTCCCTCCTGTCCCCTAGGGTCTCCTGGGTGGCCAGTGTGTGCCGACGAGAGGCCAGCGGAGCCCGTGTGCTTCCAGCCGCTGAGGCCCGAGACTGGGCTAGCCCGCCAGGAACCAAGGGCTAGCCTCGGCCCACCTCACACACTGAGAGAGAAGACTTGAGATGGGAGAGGCCAGGCCACTCGGGTCGGGTCACCCTGGGTTGAACATGGCGGGCAGAACCTGAAACTAGGACAACGAGGCCAAGAGGAGCCCAAGGTGGGGTGAGCGAGAGCCCCCAGACCCTGTAGCCTCGACCGCTTACACAGAGGCCGGCTCACGCTCCACTGGCTTGAGGGCAGAACTGCGAGTTATCTTTGGAAACTGAGCACAGGGAAACCTGCCTGCCCCAAAAGTCCCCCCTCCTCTCCTGGCGGCAGCTGAGGCCTCTCCCAATGACACACCAGCCCGTCCCCGCCTGTCCCCTCCTGATCGTGGGGCTGCCGCGGACTGGCCGGGCAGGCGAAGACAGGTCACTCCCGACAGGAGGGCCGCACGAGGGGATTTTGAAGACCGGCAACAATGAACAGCAACTGAAACAACGCCTCCTTCTCCACTCCTGCAGTCCTGGGGCCGGAGACCCGCCAGTCACTACTCCTCCGGGGACAGCAGGGCATCCCCAGAGCCAGACGGCAGAAGGGCCTGGCTGGGCCTCAGACCAGTTCTGGCCACTGCAGCGGCGGCCCGGGAAAGCCCCTGCCCTGGGCCACCGACGAGCAGAATAAGAATGAGGAGGTGACATGTCTCTCAGGCCGAGCAGTGACAGGCTGCGCCCCAAAGGTCCAGACAGGCCAGGCAGAGAAGGGCGGAGCAGGCTCAGGCTGAGAGCAGCTGGCGTCCAGACGGGGCGGCCGGCCCGGCGGGTGAGGGGCCGAGGGCCTAAGTCATTTGGTGCGGGGCTTCCAGCATCTCCATGAGGAAGGTGTCGATGGGCGTGTCCCCGATGAGCTTGAAGAAGAACAGGTGTTCCAGGCACTTGAGCCCGATGGAGCGCAGGGCCGGCAGGCGCAGCAGCAGCTTGGCGAACCTGCGGGAGAGGGCCGGCTGAGGGTCTGGGCCAGGTAAGCGAGGCAGGTGAGGGGCAGGGGCCGGCGGAAGGTCTGGGCCGGGTGAGAGGCGGGTCGAGTGAGACGGGCCAGGTGAGAGGCGGGGGCTCGCGGAGAGCCTGGGCCAGGTGAGGGCCGAGCGGGTGAGGGGACCTGGCCAGGTGCGGGCCGGGCCAGGTGAGAGGCGAGGGCCAGGCCAGGTAAGAGTCTGGGCCAGGTGAAGGCCATGGGTCAGGGGAGTGGCGTAGCCATGTGAGGACTGGGCCAGGTGAAGGGCACGGGCCAGGCAAGGGGCGATTCTCCCACCCTCTGCCCGGGTGCCGGCGGCCTCCCTGGAGACAAGGCTAGGTCTGAAGTCTGACGCCTTGGACCTGGTCTGCAGGGTGAGATAGTTGGGCCTCCAGGTAGAAGGAGGGAGTCCAAGAAAGAGGTGGCCAGAGGGCAGCAAAGCATGATGGAAGATCCATAGGGCCAAGGACCCAGAGGAAGGGCCAGGGACCAGAGGTGGCTCTTGGTGGGGAAGTTAGAAGGTGGGCTTGCTCCGAAGGCAACTGGAAGCCACAGCAGGATTTTAAGCAAGGGAGAGAGCACACGAATGGATCTGAGAGATGACGGGGCCTGTGCCAGAATGGAGATGACGGGTAACATGCAGGGCACTCAAGGAGTGACTGAGAAGGGGTACGGGTGTCCAGGTAGAGCCCCCACTGGTGGGGGAGCCAGTCCTGAGCCAAGGAGCTCTATGCTTACGCAGGTCGTGCTCCCCACACCAGGGCTACCCCCTGGCCAGAAACAGAGCCACAGACACCAGGCCCAGAGGCACAGGGTGGTCAGAGCCGGCTGGCAGGAGGGCCAGGGGAACTGGTGCTGCCGCTCAGGGCCCCGCCCACCCCTGGGGCACCTCCAGGGGCAGGGACGGGCAGGGAGAGAAGAGGGAGGGGCCCGGGGGCTCTGGCAGGAGGCTGGGCCAGGTCGGTCGCTCCGGGCTGGAGGGCAGAGCTGCCGCCAAGGACCGGGTGGCAGGGCCGGGACTGGGGGGCCTCCAGGACGTCCACGCCTGCCCAGGCCCCCACCGTGCACTGCGGGTCTCTCCACAAAGACCCTCCGGGGGCAGGAGGCCCTCAGGCGCGATCGGCAGAGTCTGGCATTTCGGGGGAAGCCCTGGGCTAGGCCGCCCCGCAATCCTCGCCTTAAAGGCAAACACGCAGCTTTGAGGCTGGAGCGGGGCCAGGGAACTCGCTGTTTCTGCTGAGCTGGCGAGATGGGCTGGGGCAAGAAGCCAGGAAAAACAAGCGCCTGCCACCCCCTCCTGTCTGTCCTCTGGGAAGTTTCACTTTAAGCCGAACCAGAGGAGGGCGGAGCAGGCAGCATGGACACGGTTAACCATGTGCGTTCCGGCGGCGGGAAGGCTGGGCGGTGGGCGGAAGTCCTCCCCGCGGGCTCGGCCTCCACCCTCCCCAAGCCCCGCACACAGTCGTGAGCACACAGTCGTGAGCACACAGTTGTGAACGGAGAGCCCGGGGATGCCGCTGTAGGGGGAAGGGGCAGAATCCGGAAAGCTGACTTGGAATTCCAGGAATCCGTGAGTGTTTCTCCTCCTGGAGCCCCACTGTGCGCCTCGGACTCAGAAACGAGAGAATCCCAGCTCTCCCGGGGCCCACAGCCGGGCAGGGGAGAAAGACAAGCTCTGCCCTCAGGCCCCAGTCACCTGTTCTGCTCATGGCTCTAAAGTCCCTACTCTGTGCAGACATCCGGCCACCTGGCCTACACATGTCTGTAAAGCACCTACTATGTGCTGGTGGCACCTGGCCCCTGGTGACACCGGGGCAGTGAAGGGGTAGGGTGGAGCACAGGCTTCATCGAGGCTCTCAACAAAGACAGGCACCTACTCCATGCCGGGCACTGGGCCGTCCTTTCCATGGGACCACGGGGTGGGGGTGGGGTGCCGTGCCCCGCAGGCCTGCTGGCCTGCAGGGCCTCCGCCGCCTCTCGGACATGCTGGAGGTCACAGGCTGGTCCTGGGGAGGCACTGCCTTCTCGTTCCCACACCAGGACCCCGGAGGAGTGGGGGCTCACAGCCTCCCATCTGTCTGGGGCAGGGGGCCCACCTTCCCGGCTGCTCGGGGTACTTGTGTTTGCAGTACGCCTCCAGGGACGCGTAGACCTTCTCCCTGAGCGCCTCCACCTCGGCCGGGTTCGAGAGCCCCTTGGAGTCTGCAAGGAGAAGAGGCCGCAGGTCAGACCCCTCCACTGGGGGGCTGTCCCGGGCACCGCCCCAGGGTTCAGGCCTCAGTCAGGGGGGTCTCCCCCACCAGCCGCCATGCAGGGGGGCTGCTGCACATGCCACCCGTGTTCTCTCCCAGGGCCCGGCATCAGTGGACGAAATGTTGCTGGGGCCAGGCTGCCCCGGTTCCAAGCCCACTTGTCATGTGCCACCGGAGTCTCAGTGTTCCCGTCCGTAAAGTGTCAGGACTCTGTGACCCCTGGCAACCAGGAGAGACAACAGACGCCTTTCTGCCTGTGACTCAGCCCCACGGACAAGGGTGAAGGTCCGCACTCTCCCCCAGAAGCAGCCAGCTCCACAGGGTGGGGGTGGGGGTGGGGGTAGCGGCCCCAAAGTCCATCCTCAGGGCCTCAGACTCGCCCAGTGCCAAGTACAGGACCCAAGAGTTGGGAGCCCAGAATGGGCAGGGCTGCCCGGGACTGCAGCTGCCAAAACTTCCCAAGTACATGTGACTCCACGTGAAAGCCAGGGGTCCGGGGTCCCAGGACTCCTCAGCAACCTGCCCCAGCTCCCCCCATCTCCTCCCCTCCCTGAAGCCCATGCCCAGGCCTTGCTGGCGAAGCAGCGCCGTGGCCAGGCCACACACAACCAAAGGCAGACCCCCTAGGGCCGCCTGCACTGGCAAGACCACAGCCCGGAAGCACAAGCCTGGGGGACACACGTCCCCAGGAAAGAGCTCCCTCCACAAGAACACGCCCAGCTCCGGCCCAGGCCAATCCCTCGAAGCTGGCTAGTGAGACCAAGGCCAAGGCCCAGGGACTCCGCAGGCTCGTCCTGCTCTGGGCCCTGCCTGGGCATCCCCAAACCCTCCCCGTCCGCACGCCCCACCCAGCCCATAGCCACTGAGGTTCCAGCCCATAAGACCACCTGCTCCCTCCCTGCGGGAAGCCCCAGGGCTGGGCCACCGGCCCCCAAGAGAAGCCCAGACGCTGTGGGATTTCCAGGCCACTGGGGGCCCCCGCCAGCTCTCCCTACCCCTCGTTTCCCATTCCCTGGCGTCTCTGAAGCGTTGCCTCAGCGTCCCCCATGCCCGCAGTACACCTTGGCACTTCCCGCTAAGTCCTTGAGGGCTCGAAGGGCCTCCCACACTGGGTACCCAGCAAACGGGCCGGGGTCAATGCTTACGGGTGAAGGAGGGCCACCCTGAGGCTTCTAAAGCAGACTCCAGCAGCTGGGGGGTGCCTGGCAGAGCCCGGGCCCCACTCCAGCCCCAGAAACACCCGGGCCCCGAGGCTCAGGCCGCGGCCGCTCACTCCAGGACACCCAGCAGGCCTGACCTCCCAGCCCCAGCCTCAGCTTGAAGCCCCGGAACAGCCGGCCCCTGTTGAGACGAGGACCGCAGCGCTCAGGACTGTCACCCCGGACCCTACTGACATGGCCTCCCCGAGCCCTGCTGTGCACAGGGCTTATGCCCCTCGTGGCGTGGCCATGATACCCTCGAGGGGGCACCCCAAGGCTGGGCGAGGGCAGGAGCTGGCCTCACACTGAGCAACAGGGGGAGACCCAGGTGCTGCCCCGACAGGCCAGGCAGGTGTGGAGGCAGGAGACCGTACCGGGGTTGAAGAGCACAATGGCTCGCAGGCAGCCCAGCTCTGTCTTGTCCATCTGCATGTCCCGCATCTTGGACACCAGCTCCGTCAGCACCCTGCAGAGGAAGAGGGGGCGCACGGGACGCATGAGGCCGTGGCCTCGCCACGCCCCCACCTGGGACACGCAAGTGACCCCAGAGGGTGACGACATAGGCCAGGCCAGGCAGGGGCTGCCTGGACAAACCGAGAGCGGGGCTCAAGCCCAGGCCCAGGGACCCCATGCCAGGCCCATCTAGTCCTGCCCACAGGGTGGGACACCAGACGCTGAGGGCCAAGGGGAGCTGGGACATCAGGGTTGGAAGCCACCACCCGCAAGGCCCCGGCTAAACCCGCCACGGCCCCTGCTCTGCTGCAGACCGGAAGCCACAGCCCAAGGCGCTATATTCCCTGGGCTCCCTCCAGTCTAGGGAAGGCCCTCCCTCCAGGACGGGGTCTCTGGGGTGGGGGTCAGCAAGGGGGGATACAGGTTCCCCCTCTTGTCACCAGCCACCAGTTCCCACCAGGGGACAAAACCCACATGGCCCATCACAGAGCTGAGCCCCCTCTGCAAAGCCCCTGGGGCGTTCTCAGGTTCAGCCTCAGCCCACCCTGCCCTGTGGCTGGATTCGGGGTCCCACTGGCCTATCTGCGGCATGACAGCTCAGCCACCCCGAGCCTGGACCACCAAGCCCAGAACCCCACGGTCATGTCCAGGAGGTGGAAGCGGCCGGCGAGTTAGGTCACAGGGAAAGACAGGGAGGGGCCCGGGCAGGGCTTGGACGGCACCTAGGGAGCCTGGGCTTCTCCCTTGGGCCAAGGGCAGCCCCTGGGGTCTGTGGGCTGGGGTGCGCCCCGGCCGCCTCCTGGGAAAGACCTGAAGGAGCATGTGGAATGGAGGGGCAGAACTGGAGATGGGGTGGAGGGCCCAGGCCACCCCGGGCAAGGCTGTCCTCCACCCTCACCAAAGGCGAGGGAGAGCTGAGTCTCTGCAGCGCAGCGCGGGGACCCCAGGAATAGAATAGCACCCAAAGCCCTCCATCACTGTCACCTCCACCCGCTGGACCAAGGAGCTGTCAGCTGGGCACATTTAGGGCTGTTTCCCGAAGCCAATTCCCGGGGGGTGCACCCTCTTAAGAAGCTTCCATGGGCAACAGACACTGTGCCCCACAGGCCCCCTGGGATTTCCCCTGTACAGTGTGGCCAAGGCCCTGAGAAGTCCTACTGCAAAGCCCCTTGCATGCACTGTTTAAGCCAATGTCCACCCACCATATGGGGCCACAGGCCCTTATGCACTTGGTGTGTCCCCGGGGGCTCAAGTCCCAGGACCTTCCTGGGGACCTCGGGGCCTTCTCATCTGTTCTGTCTGCTCCATCCTGGGGTCAGCGGGGCTCATGCATTTATTCCCCTGTGGGTGCCAGCTAGTGGCCACTGCATACCTCCGACCCCAGGGCTTGCCTAGGACCCTCTCACCATCCCCTCCCTCGGCCTGCTCCTCCCACCCACCACTCCTTATGCTGCAAACCCTCCAGCCTCCTGCTCCAGCTGGCTGAGCTTACACCAGGTCCCCAGAATGAACCAAGGGCTGGCCAGAGGCAGGGATGAAGAAGCTACCGGCCACCTCCCAGGCAGTTTGTAAAGGGGCCCAGTTCAAAGGACACAGACCACCCATCCTGGGTGAGGCCTGCCTCCCCACCAGCACCGTCCCCTCCGGCATGTCCCCAGAGAGCTCCACTGGAGGCTAGAGGCGTCTGCATGGGGACAGGCGTCAGGGTACAGCCACGCCCTGCGATCAGTGACAAGCCCAGTACCCAGAGTCTGCAACATGCCAAATGGAATAAACACTTTGACAAAAATGTATCTACTTAAAAAAAAAAAAGTAGCCGGGCTCGGTGGCTCAGCCTGTAATCCCGCACCTTGGGAGGCTGAGGTGAGTGGATTGCCAGAGCCCGCGGGTTCAAGACCCACCTGGGCAAC